CCCTCCCTCTAACACTCCTGGACCCAGGCTGCCCTTTCTCCCCCCATAACCTCCTCCCTAGGCTTCTCTCACCACCACCCTGGTCTCTACTGGCTTTTTCAATCACCCCTCACTCATCACAGGCATTCCCCAAACCCCAGTTCCTTTCTGCCTCCCAATCTATTTCCCGCTCTTTTCCCTCCAGCTCCCTCTGTGTACAACCCATGCCACACCCACCCACTCCCCAAAGCCATTCTCTCCCCAGTCCCCTCTTTTTCCATCTCCCTGACTGGGTCTTGCCCCCTCACAATCCTCAACTACCCTAATCCTCTTAGTTGCTACAGCTCCCCACTCCATACCCAACGTTCACACACACCTGCTCCCACTGTTCTGCTGGAACTTGGGCCTGGGCAGCTGTTGGTGGGATAGGAATTTTGGAGGGGACTTTACTCCTAACTCAAAGCTGACTCCACTTGTTGTGGGATGGTACTAGCAGGACAGGTTCCTGATTCCCCCTCCCATCTGCAACCCTGGGGGCTCTTCCCTGGCCTTTCTTTTCCAGCCACACCCACTCCTTGTGCTGTGGTGGGGATAGGAGAACTATATTAACTAGAAATAGCATACGTGGAACCGCATAAAATTTGACACCTTTGCAAACTCTAGTGCTCATCTGAATCTGCAGTTTTTCTTTTGATGCTGGGGAGAAGGAAAGTATTGTACAGCCTGAGCCAGGGCGACTGCTACAGCCACTAACAGTGGTCTCATGGGAAAGTGAGGAAACAGTAAAGAGATCCTTTTACTTTTATATACCCATTCCTACTAGTCTTCATTTGTATTTAGCTAGTCATATATCATAGTAGATGAAGCTATTGGTGGTGAGCAGGATTTTGTTCAAATTGGTGGGACTGGGAGGATTAAAGGATAAAGTAAAAATTTGTCCAAGATGTCATCTGACCTTTAACCCCAGCAAAACTGCAAAAGGACTACAGTTCCAGCTACCCTGCCCCTTGCAAATAATCCATAGAAATTAACTGATTTATTTTATTTATTTCATTTATTGCAAATGACACCCTGTTTTAAACATTCCATTGGAAAACAGCAAAGAAAGAGTGCTAGGTTAAAGGAATACAAAATTGTTCATAATATTTTCCTGGTTATCCTTTTTCTTTAAAAAAACCCCACGCTTATGTTGTTTTGCTGAAAAATTAAATACCACAATGATGGTGTGAAATTAAAAATGGCTTAAAAATAGCATCTGAATGAAGTATTGTCTTACTGAATGAAATGAAAATGAAAAATTGTCCATTTATATTCTTCTTAAAAGTGTCTGTTTATTTCAGAGTAATTGCTGTCTTAACAGTTATTTTTTCTTTTGGTTCTAGGCTGGTAACCCTGTGCTTTTCACCCTCCCTCTCCCACTGTATTAAGTGTGCACAACAGCTTACTGCTAGTGAAACCACTACAAAGCTCTTCATACCAAACATGCTGTTTGTAGAGGAAGGTCAGGCACTGTTCTTTACTCAGATGGCACATTAAAATTGGTGGAATTTAAAACAATTACCTTCTCATATTAGAAATCCAAAAGGTAACCCATCTCTACTGGTAATACAAATATCTAATAGACTAATTTTCTGCTCACTAGATTTACTGCTGTTCAATGCAACTGGATTAGGGAAAAGACTCTGACCCATATGAGCAAAGAGTATGTTCAGTGTAAATGGGTTGCATTTTACTAATCAGTGAGCTCTACTGAGTTTATCCGGGTAAATTAATAAAAAGCCTAGCAAATCTACAAAAATCTACCTTCAACTCCAATACTCTGACCTCCCACCCCCTGTCAGAATCCCCAAGTGAGAGATGTCCCATTTTATGTATACTTCTGTGTATAGCCCTCATATCATGGGGCCTGACTCTTGAACCATAGCTGTCTGTCAGATACTGTGTTATTGTGTGTTCTGTGACATTAAAAATCAATTTTAATTAAAAAATCAAAAGTAAACTGATGAAAGATGAGGATACATGTATTATACGGTAAGGAGAAAAGGTATGTGGCAATAGTCATACTATCACAAAGTGGGTGACAAAGACTAAAGGGTTTCTATGGATCCATATTCAGACTGTGGTCCTTCTGAGGCTTTACTTGATTGGATGATCAGCTTTAGGGTCCTATCCTTCTTCTATAGACATCAACAGATGTTTGGCCATTGGCTTCAGTGAAAATAGGATTGGACCCCAACTAGTTTCCCATTGGACTTGTTTCTTCAGTCTTCCATCAAATGCTTTTTTCTCCGCATATAAAATCTTGCAATGAATTAATCAGACTCTAGAGATCCCAAAAGTGTTCACTTGTGAGTTTATCTTCCTTTCAAAATTCTTATTCACTAGAAACAACACCTCCAAGAACTCCCTGACTGACCATACATCTGAGTGGTGGCATGAGAGTGACACTCTGTGGCTAAAGAAGAGAAATGCAGTTTCTTCATCCAACTTGATCCAATTTCTGTGCAGCTGAGTGAAATAGAGCAGGAAGATTCTGTATGGCATGAATGTGACCCAGCAGCTAGTGTGAGGGCTATCACCCCCAAAGTCCACTGAAAACAGGGGGACAACCCAACAAAAGCCTATTTGTTTTATGTAATTCAGATCTGTCTTACAGACTGGAACTAGAAAGGCAAGACAACTGGGTCTCTTTTACTACGCTGAAAAGAATGAAATTTACAGAGTCATAGAGTTTAAGGCCACAAAGGCCCACCAGACCATCTAGTCTGACCTCCTGTATATCACAGACCATCAAAATCACCCAGCACTTGCATACTAAACCCAACAACTGAAATTAGACCTAAATATATAGCCCACAGAAGAGTAGAATATTGTGCCCATAGACAGAGATTAGGAGAGAACAAGGTGCACTAGTGGCTGAGGCCCCCACAATGGCAGGAAAATGATTGTGAGGTATATCCAGATAATCCTGGCAAGTAACCTGAACCCACATGCTATAGAGGGAGGTGAAACCCCACCCCCAACCCCCCAAGTCCCTGTCAATCTGACCTGGGGGAAAATTTCTTCCCAACCCCACAAATGGTGATCAGTTAGGCCCTGAACATGTGAGTCACAACCAGCCTGCCAAGCACCTGAGAGACAGAATGCTTGGTACCATGGGCGGCGGGTGGACCCCCCTTTTGGGGATGCTAGCCTTGCGGTCCCGCCCCTTCTGCACGAGGCACTGCCCTCTGCAGCAGGAGCCCTGATCTCCCTCAAGCCTCCCTCCCACGGCCGGAGGAACCCTGGGCTGGTCCCAGCCGGCCAACTGACCCAAGCCCCAGGCCAGCCTGAGCAATCCTAACCCAGTGTCCCGCAGCAGCGGCTCCAGCCAGGGAAGGCAGAGCCTTCCCTGGCCTATTATACCCGCCGCCCATGCTTGGTACCACCTCAGAACCCTGGTCCACCCCATTCAATATCCCATCTCCCGCCATGTCCATCCCTGATGCTTCGGAGAAAGGAGACCAGAAGGATTGCAATACGTGTGACATGTCATCTCTTTTCATTGCCCCTCCTCTTACCTCTGATAACACCCACAAAGAACAGACAAAACAATACAAAAAAAATCCCTGCAAAGATTTATACTAGGGCTGTCGATTAATCGCTGTTAACTCATGCAATTAACTAAAAAAAATTAATCACAATTTAAAAAATTTATTGCTATTAAGCGCAGTTTTTATTGCACTGTTAAATAATAGAATACCAATTGAAATTTATTAAATATTTTGGATGTTTTTCTTCATTTTCAAATATATTGATTTCAGTTACAACACAGAATATAAAGTGTACAGTGCTCACTTTATATTATTATTTTTTATTATAAATATGTGCACTGTAAAAATGATAAACAAAAGAAATAGTATTTTGCAATTCACCTCATAGAAGTACTATAGTGCAATCTCTTTATTGTGAAAGTGCAATTTATGAATGTAGATTTTTTTTTGTTACATCACTGCACTCTAAAACAAAACAATGTAAAACTTTAGAGTTTACAATTCCATTCAGTCCTACTTCTTGTTCAGCCAATTGCTAAGACAAACAAGTTTATTTACATGTATGGAAGAAAATGCTAGCTTTGCTTCAGCATTCTGTCACACACACTCCCTGCGTACAGCCTATCGACAGCATATTAGCAATCTTTGATTATACAATAAACTGGGTAGAATGCACTGGAGAAAAGAAAGCACGTGCTCCCTGTTCAATTAATGAGAACTAGGAAACAGAGGGAGGATCTTCATTCCTATGTACCCCTATTTTATTTTATATCTTGATTTATATAGTGTCTTTGGTATGCCTTAAAGCTCATTACAGAATTGCAAGTGTATTTTCACTCCACTTAGTGGGGGTGTCCATAGAGACCTGATTTAAGTCTAATTCTTCTATGGCAATGAGTGCTGCATAATGGAGAATGCTTCTTATGGTTTAGTGGTGCTTACTGTTTTGTATGTCTAAGGCCATGTCTACAGTACAAACTTTGGTCAACACAAGTTACGTCAGCATAAAGCCACTGCAGTTAGTATATTGCTTGTGTGTGTGGATACTTGGCTCCTTGCATCGGCACAACACATACTCACCAGGAGTGCTTGTGTTGAAGCATAGTGCAGTGCACCATGGGTAGGTATCTCAGTATGCAACCTGTCACTGTCCAGTGCACTGGCTTTTGGGAAGTTTTGGCAGCGCATGGTGGGGCAGAAATGAGGCGTGCATGGGTGACTGGGAGCAAGGGGTCAACTTCTCAGGGTGAAAAACTGTCTCCATTCCATGTCATCTATATCCCATAATTTTTGTACCCTTTTAAAAAAAAAATCATTAACCTGCACAGCCCTCCTGGCTGTCTGCCATCTCTGACAAAAGCATGGAGCCTGCACAGCTCTGCACTATTGTCATAAGCCTTGCAAGCACAGGACACATGATCCTCTGCTATTTGCAGAGTTGTTTGAAGAACTGACGTAAAGGGTAACATGATGATTTCTTGGAGAATAGATTGCTGTGGGACATAGCAAGAACCAAATCAAGGTTGTTCGTGGTGTTCACAGAGCAGCTGCAGATGGTGGTGTGCTGCTTCTGGGCCCAGGAAATTAGCACTGACTGGTGGTATCACATCATAATCCAGGTTTGGGATTATGAGCAGTGGCTATTAATTAGGCCACATTCCTGAATGTACAGGAATGAACTCACCCCAGCTCTCCCATGCAGGGACACCAAACTGAGAGCTGCACTGACAATAGAGAAGCAAGTGGCGACTGCACTGTGGAAACTTGCAATGCCGGATGCTACCAGTCAGTGGGAAATCATTTTGGAGTTGGAAAATCCACTGTGGGGACCGTGGTCATGTAAGTGTGCAAGGCCATTAATCGTCTCCTGCTGCACAGGACTGTGACTCTCAGCAATGTGCAGGAACATAGTGGCTGGATTTGCAGCAATGGGGTTCCTGAACTGCAGTCTGTTGCACCACTATAGAACTCCAGTCTATTGTAGGGTTACCATATGTCCGGATTTTCCCCAGACATGTCCGGCTTTTTGGTCCTCAAATCCCCGTCCGGGGGGAATTGCCAAAAAGCCGAAATGTCCGGGAAAATACTCCCAGCTTTGTTTTGCTGGCATCCCTGCCCCAATCCCCTGCTTATCTTAGAGCGGCTCCGGCAGGCTGCGAGCTGCAGGCGGATTCCCCCGCGGCGGTGGCGGCGGCGGCTGCTGCTGCTGCTGCCCCCCCCCAGACACCTCAGCTCTGTGCAGCTGAAGAGCGGAGCTGCCTGAGCACTACCGGCTTCACGGTTTGCCAGGCAGCCCCCAGACCTCCAGACCCTGCGCCCCCAGCTGGGCACTTCCCCTCCCAGGCTCTGGCTGTGCTGGGGAAGTGCCCGGCCGGGGGCGCAGGGTCTGGAGGCTGCCCGGCAAACCATGAAGCCGGTAGCACTCGGGCAGCTGTTTCGCGTGGCTGGGAGGGAGGAGGGGGAATGCAGGGTGCTCAGGGGAGGGGGCGGAGTTGGGCCAGGGCGGGGAAGGGCGGAGTGGGGTGGTTCTCCACTTGCGAAGTAACTCCCTGCTCTCCATGTGTCAGTATATAATGCCTGCATCTGTAACTTTCACTCTATACATCTGAAGAAGTGAGGTTTTTACCCACAAAAGCTTATGCCCAAATAAATCTGTTAGTCTTTAAGGTGCCACGAGACTCCTTGTTGTTTTTATTGGCATATAAATCAGCATAAATTATGTTGCTCAGGGGGGTGGCGAATTCACACCTCTGAATGACATAATTTATATTGACTTAAACTGTAGTGTAGTGATAGCCTCAGTTCCTCCAATAGCTGTTTTCAGTTTTTCGATGGCTATGATGGATGCAGAACATGC